TGCTAAACTGGCAACAAATGCAGAACTGTCATAAGAGCAACGGTTGAGATTAATGAGACAGAAAGTTCCCGAAAGTCAATACTTATATCTCTTTACATATTTCTTTATACTTCAATATTAAACGTTTGATTAAAAATGACTGTGGTTTTGTGGTTCAGTTCTTTGAGTAAATTTAATGTAAAAGTAAGATTTTGATTATAGGTAACATCAACTCTTTCCTTAACCAGCAACATTTCAGCTCTTCCTTGGCAGAATCTGTGTTCTTTCAGTCTGATTACAACCATTAATGTAAAAGAGTTCTTACTAAACATTTTATGAATGATTTCTTCATTTTGCAATCATATCCTCTGACTTCTCACAAAAACCAACCAGTTTCAAATTTACCAATTCTCTTCAGTTGCTATTTTATTTCGTTACAAACTCTAATATATGCTATTTGATTTATAGGCCTTCAAAATGTTCCAATTGCTCAGGAACCATTTATTTCTGGCATTGCTTTCAGTTATTAATATTTAAACAACTTTGGGAACAATGCTGAGGAATTTTATTTGCAAGTTCTTTATGATTCTCTCTTTTGTTTCTCTGCTCACTTCAACCTGGGAATTAAGAACTTATTCCTCCATTTGCCAGCTGCTGGAAGATGTATGAAGGAAAATTTAAAAAAAAGGTTGGCTAAACAAACAAACTAGCCTCTAATGTTGCCAAATTATTGTGGACTCTTGAATGGTTCACTTTCTCTTCCTCAGTGCAGATGTTTTGCATCGTGCTCAAAGCTTGTATAATTCTCAATCTATTGTGTTCTGGGCTATTGATGTATTAATACTGGTAAATGCTCTGTCATGTTTATAACATTATAATATAGGAACAGGAATGGATTAAGGTGCAGGAGCTTAGCACTTTGAGCCTACTCTGCCATTCAATAAGATCATGGCTGATAGTGGTTTCAACTCCACATTCTTGTCAACCTACCATAATCCTGGATTCCCTTGTCGATCAAAAATCTGTCTTGCTTGCCTACCTTAAATATATTCAATGACCTAGCCTCTTCTGCTCTCTAGGTTAGAAAATTCTACAGACACAACAATACCCCTTGTCTTAATGATAAAGGGGAGGCCTATTAATTTTAAACTGTGTCCTCTAGTTCTAGTATCTCCCAAAAGATGAAAGGCCCTCACTGTACTGATTTTATCAAGTTCCCGAGGATCTTACATGTTTCAATGAGACCACCTCATTCTTCAAAATCCAAATGGGTTTAGGCCAAACCTGTTCACTTTTCCTTCATAAGATAAGTTCTCTATCCTAGGAATGAGTCATGTGAAACCTTCTCCAAACTGCATCTAGAGCAATGACATCTTTTTTAATAAGATGATCAAAGCTCAGTACGCCAGACGTGATCTCACGAAGACCGTGTAAAATTGCAGTAAATTTTCTTTGTTTTAAAATCCGTTCCCTTTGCAATAAACAACATTCCATTTACCTCCTAATCACTTGCTTAATTGCATAGTAACTTTTTGTGGCTCATGTACCAGGACCCAGATTCCTCTGTACCACTGAATTCTGCAATTCCTCAGTCTTAAGTAATGCGCTCCCTTTCTACTCTTCCTTCCAGAATGCACAAATTCATGACAAGGCATTTTCTACATTTTATCTGCCAAATTTTTGACCACTTACTTAACTTATCTGTATTCCTTTGTAGGTTCTTTACTTCCTCTTGAAAACTTATTGTCAACCTCCCATAATCCTAGCTTCCCTTGTTGATTAAAAATCTGTCTTGCTTGCCTACCTTAAATATATTCAATGACCTAGCCTCTTCTGCTCTCTAGGTTATTCTGGTGTCACCGATAAATTTAGCTACCAAACTTTCAGACCCCTCATCCAACCTACAGTACAGATTGTTACTAGTTAATGCTACAGCATTAATTCCTGAGGTACTCCACTTCATACAGCCTCCTAACTCAAAAAATACCCATTTATCCCTATTTTGCTACCTGTTAACTACCATTCATTTCCCCATGCTTATAGGTTATCACCTACACCATGATTTTGTGCAGTAAACTTTGATGAGGCACTTTAACAGATGCCTTTTTGGTAATCCAAGTATACCACATTTAGAGGTTCCCCTGATCCAGATAAGTTGATATGCCCTCAGTGAACTTCAATAAATTAGTTAAACACAATTCCTCTTTCACAAAACTATATTGACTCTGCTTGGTTTCATTCTGGTATTCTACATGTCCTTCTAAAATCTCCTTAGTAGTGGATTTATACCAGTTTCTTTATGCCTGGTCTTAGGTTCATTGACCTACAGTCTTTGGCTTTCAGTCTCTCTCCTTTTCTAAGTTAAAGTATTACATTTACAAATTTCTACTCTGCTGCAACTCTTCTGGAATTTAAGAAATTTTTGACAGCTGTCTCTGCAGACACTTCTTTTGAGACCTTAGGATGCAAGCTATCAACTCCTCAGAACTAGTCAGCTTGTATCTCCAATAGTTTTCCCAGTACTGTATTTTCTGGTCAAGGTGTTTTTTTTTAAACTCTTGCCTTCAATACACCTCTTGAGTTTAAAGTACCTTTGAAGTTTTCTAAATTGTCTACAGCTACAAGATACCTGTTTAACACTTCCACTATTTCCTGATTTTCCATAACCACTCCCCAAATTCAACCTCTGCAGAACTAATACATGAATTAAGTATAAAAACAGAAATTGTTGGAGAGAAAAAGCAGGTCTGGCAGCATCTGTGAAGAAAGAATTAGTTAACATTTCAAGTCCAATATGATTCTTCTTCAGAACCAGAAGAGTCACATTGGACTCAAAGCATTGACTGATTTTTTTCTGCACAGATGCTGCCAAACTTGCTAAGTTTCTCCAGCAATTTTAAAACTTCTAGAAACTCTTACTATCTGATTTTATATTTCTAGCTAGTTTTCCCTCATATTCTAGTTTCTCTCCCACTTTTTCATTGTCATTCTTTTCTTAAACTCTATCCAATCTTCAGACCTAACATGGACATTCTTAGATTTGTACAGTGTTTCTTTCCATTTGATATTATTGTGAACTTCTTTATTTAGCCATGGAAGATGCTTTCTTCCAGAGCCTTTCTTTCACTAGGCCAAATCTTTGTTGAGGTTTATAAGTACCTTCTTAGAAGGTCTGTCACTGTATTTCTATTGCCACTGTATTTCTATCATTTTGCCTTTTAACCTGGTTTCCCAGTTCAACATTGCCAATTCTGCTCCATAAGTCTTACTTAAATCTTTATTTAGGTTTAAAGTATTACTGTTAGACCCACACTTCTCATCTTCAAACTGAATGTGAATTTCTATCAACATAATTGCTGTTGCCCAGAGGGTCCTTACCATGAGGTTATTGATTAATCCTGTCTCACTGCACAATACTGGGTCTAGAATAGCTTGCAGTGATTGGTGCTGAATGAACTGCACTAAGAAATTGTTCCAAAAATACTATGATTTCCTTTTCCAGGCTACTTTGCCAATCTGATTTGTTCAATTTGCGTGTCGATTAAACATACTTATTATTGCAGTATCATAGTTACATATAGCTACCTTGCATCATATTGCATCCAATAACCCCAACATACCGCAGCTGTGACACATCACCTGCCCTGCTATCCTTATTATATGTTGATTAATTTATTTTCCATAACTCACTTACAATAAATAAATCCTATTGCTAATAAGCTTTACTATTACTAGTACACTTTACCATCAATAAAACTTTACAATTGTTAATAAATAACCTGAGGTAAACAAGAAAAATGCTAATTAACTAATGACTTACCTGTTTCTCTGTGACATTACATGTTGGCTTTCTCAAAACTCAGTCAACTCACTCAGGAGTCATAATTTGGCCAGACATTTTGAAGGTGTCCCACTCCTTTTCCTCACACCCCTTTAAATGGTGTCCCACTGCTTTATCCCTTTGTGATTTTTTAAAATTGTGTTTCTTTACTCTCACTCCTTGTGCACTTTTAAGTTGGTTCCTTCTGTTCTCACTATTCAGGTTCTTTTAATTGATGCCCCACTTTTTAAACAGTATCATTGAGCACCCTTTCCGCCTGCTTTTTTAAATGGTGTCCCATTACACGATAACAACACAACGATTATTTCCCATGTTATTCCATCTCTTGGTGAAGGACTACCCAGTGTAATATACTTGCCCTCATTTACAAACCTTCTATGGGCTTTTATAGTCACCTCTAGTTTGCAGGTGCATCCTGATATTCCTTTGAATCTATATTCTTGTGTATATCTCCACCTGGAGTTCCTCATCTGCTGTCAGTGCATTTGACTTTCTCACTTCTCCCTTCTGGCAATCTCACTATAATTGAGTGGAAAGCAAAGATAGCAATCCCATAATTCCCTGATGTCCCAGCTGGCAACTTGGACTTGGAATATTGGATTTTTCATATCTAACTAACAAAATACTAATAAATGAAGATTATGTTCTTCAAGCAGTTTGGAAACTGCACAGGCTAATTGGCAAAGGGAACTAATGATGTTCGTATGATAGCCTTCTGACCAATATATTAGCAGAGGCAATTTACAGAAAATGGAATAGTTTTTTCGTTAGGGTCAGTGACAAATAATTATTGTGGTGGGTTGTAGATTCATTCACTAATCTTATCCATAATATGTTCTAGATTCATGAGGCTTTTAAATTTTATTTTGAGAAATTATGTTGATAGTTTGATTGTCATTTCCAAACTGATCAAAATTGTAACAATGGATAACAGTATGGGCTGGGGATCATTCTACCACTGCTTCCCAAATTCTGTTACTCATCAAATTTTCTAAATGACAAAGTATGACAAGAAATAAATCAAATTATAACAAGCAATAAACCAAAATTGGTTGCACAAGAAATCTTAAGAAAAGATTAATTTCAACATAAAAATAAGGGCTCTGTACTGTTCAGTTCAGCCAAGTCTAATTGATCAGCAATACTCCTTAAAAGGTTTGTGTCTTATTTGTGCACATACCTTAAAACAGGCACTATCAGCACTTGGCCGTCCTTCGGTTAGATTGGCACATGGAATTCTCTCCTCCCTACATTCTTTTAGGGATTTTGTTGCTTCACACTCTGTGATAGACTTCAGGCTGCCTTGTATCGCAGAACTGTGATTCTGGAATGTGAAACAGATTGAAGGGTGCTGCAAACATCTGATTACCATTTTAACAAGAAAGCCGTTATGCCAAAAGGGAAAAAATGAGATTTGCAAATAAGCTTGCATTTTAAAACAAAAAGGGATAAAATATAAACACACTTTAATTTAGGACTATGCAATTTGGTTTGCACTTTATAATCTTCATTGTCTGTTTTAATGCAATAGATTCAAGAAGATGTTCTAATTCTGAAATACAGAAGACAAACAATTCCTCTTGGCCATTTCTAAAAATGCATGTTAATTACAACCTGGTAGTATACACACCACTCTGTGTTAGTAGGAGAATAGGCAAATGATTCTGTTTCAGTTGATTCATACAGTATAGTTCAATAGGAATTCCATCTGCTGAGTGAATAAATTCAAGTGTTGATAACCTACCATCAGGGATGTGCGTGTTTTTGCTAATTCATAATTATAGAGTTGTATTCCTGTCGTAGAATTTTAAATAAATCATGTTCCATTCTGAACGAAATGTTTGTCAAGATGTAAGCCAATTCACCCTTTTTACAGGAACCGAGGAAGAAAGACATTTCTTCTCAGTTAATTCGATGTGAAGTAACAAGACATCACTGTAACCAATTTGTTATGGATAATGGCTATTAAAAAGTAAGAAGGGCAGTAAAGGAAATAGCTTACTAAAGGGAGAAAGTTCTAATGTAAAAGGACCATGTCATTGTCTGATTTCCTCTGATAGGTGTTCAATTAAGTAATTGCAATGGAAATGGCAAACACAGCCCCTGGTGAGCATGTAGTGAGATGACAAAGGAATGTTGTTTGCATTTCAGAGACCTTTCATATGATTCACTAGATCTGATATGTCTACCTGAGGATTATTGCAATGCAACCATTTTGAGAGCAGAGGCATAAAGATTTAATGGATAACTCAATTATATGTTGCTTTGGGATAGTAAATGTCATGTTTTAAATATGAGTGTGTCATATATCACCCTTGACCAAGGAATGAGAATGAGAATACAACTTCTTTCAAAGTGTCAGTTACATTATGTATACTATGTTTACACACATCAAGATTGTGAAAATAATCCTGATGCCATCATATATCTCCAACTTGAAATAACCAGACACCTTACAATTTGTTTTGTACAGCTGTTTAAAGGGTGTACAATTGTACACTTTCATTGAACAAAAATTAATTAATTTGTGAAATTAACTTTGTAATTTTAAGTAAGGAAAAAAATGATATACCTCAGTCTGTAATAAAGTAGATTTTTCTTCAATCCTTAATTGTTTCCCATAGTTTCTAGGTCCTGGTAACACCACATTACCATTCTTTACATTTGTTCTTGGTTGTTGTTCCTGTACACCCTCCAGGTTTGGCAGCCTTTCTTTCTTCTTCATTCTTCGAATTGAGGCATATTCTGGTACGTCCATGTTTCCAGGTGACTCCTCAAAACGTTGTGTCAGTTGTCTTTGAGACTTTAAAGATGCTTCTATTTCATTAGCTCTATATTCAAGTTTTGATTGCCTAACACTTTGAAGATTATTATGATCTACTTCATGATTGGTTCCAACACTTTCATACAATGAGTCTTCAATAGAGTTCTCCTGACAAGGATATTTTTCTGCATTGGCATAAATACAATCCATATCAGCTGTATTTCTCAAAGCAGACAGCTTTCCATCTTTGTAATTATTTTCAGGAAGTCTGGGCAACTCTCTGGTCTGTTGAATTCTTGAATTTCTCTCCTCACCTGCTCCCTCCTCCAAATGTTCTGTTCCTAGTGGATGTAGGTAATCCATACTGGCTGACCAACTTCTGAGACCATCTACACATCAAGTGATAATATCAAATAATTATATCGAAAAACATTGTACCATGAGCAATTCTTTCTTACAATCTTTTAAGGAAAGAATTTATGCGAGACATTATTATTGCTTATCCAGCAAATTTATCATTGGGATATCAAGCAGGGTTTGGCAGGCGAGCATGTGTAGGTATCCAAAATTTCAAGAAATATTTTGAGGAGATTTTTGAAAGTAGGAAGGGATAGAACATAGAACGTAGAACATAGAACAGTACAGCACAGTACAGGCCCTTCGGCCCGTGATGTTGTGCCGGACTTTTACTATAATCTTAAGGTCTATCTAACCTCCACCCCTACCTTATACTATCATCCATATGCCTATCTAATAGCCGCTTAAATGCTCCTAATGAGGCTGACTCCACTACCCTCTCCAGCAATGCATTCCATGCCCCGACCACTCTCTGAGTAAAGAACCTACCTCTGATGTCTCCCCTATATCTACCTCCACTCACTTTAAAACTATGCCCCCTCGAAATAGCTACCTCCACCCTAGGAAAAAAGTCTCTGGCTGTTTACTCTATCTATACCTCTGACCATTTTGTACACCTCTATCAAGTCACCTCTCATCCTTCGTCGTTCTAAAGAGAAAAGCCCTAGCTCTCTTAACCTTTCCTCATACGACCTTCACTCCATTCCAGGCAACATCCTGGTAAATCTCCTCTGCAGCTTTTCCAACACTTCCACATCTTTCCTGAAACAAGGCATGAAACAACATGTTGGAAAAAATTCCACAGAGCCCCAGGACTAATGTTTGAGGGGACAGGGAGAGCATGTTGTGGCAAAGGTAGGGCAGACACGGAGGTGGGAAGCACAGACTATTGAACCAAGTCATTAGTTCCGCAGCCAAAACCAGGTCATAACCAGTTTTTATCCAAAAACTCTTTGACAGCAACTGTTCAACCATTTCAGGTGAAGAAAATTAAAGTCAGGGCAAAGGGAGGCGGAGTTATATCAATAATAAAACAATACACGTTTGTTGAATGTGAATTTACATTCAATTTTGTCATTGGCTATGGCATCCAATCAAAGTCAGGTTACCTCTGGATGATAGAGGTCATTCAACTCATTGGGTTGAATTTTGCCAAAATAGTCAATTTTGGGGAGTTTCCTGGAGGGTTTCTCTCCGTGAGCTCTAGTGTATTATGTCACCCAATTCTTTGCTGCTCACCTCATTAAGTGTGCACTACAGCTCACTGGTACCCTTCTCATACTATCCCGGTGGTGGAAGTAATCACCAGTGCACAGGTTTTCGGGGATTTGTGCCACCGGTGTCATATTTAATTTTCAACCATGCACCAGTTCAATTGTTGTCAGCCACAAATAGCCCTTCACAGTATATGTAGTGCGAGGAAATTTAAAAAAAAATGCTTCTGAGGGCACAGAGATGGGCAGAAGACACTTCCTTGGAAATAGAAGCATACTTTTGTAAATGTATTGTTACTGAACGTTATCCCTGTCTGAGCAACTGTCACTGTAACTGCAGCTACACAGGCTACCTCTCCTTATAGAATTTGAAGCTAGTAAAGCTCCTCACCCCTGACCTCATCCCAAGACCAGCACCTACCCCCCATCCCCGTCTCATTGACCTGTCCGTCTTCTCTCCCACCTATCTGCTCCTCCCACCTCACTGGCCAATCCCCCACTTCCGACCTACACTCACCTTCACTAGCTTCATCCCCGCCTCCTTCACCTATCCAACTCTTCTCCCACCCTACCCGTCCCTCCCTCCTCACTGACGAATCCCCACCCCCACTTCCTACCTACACTACCTTTACTAGCTTCATCCCCGCCTCCTTCACCTGTCCATCTTCTCTCCCACCCTATCCGCCCCTCCCTCCTCACTGACCAATCCCCATCCCCACTACCTACCTACACTCACCTTTACTAGCTTCATCCCCGCCTCCTTGACCTGTCCGTCTTCTCTCCCAAATATCCGCTCCACTATCTACTTGTATCATCAACCCCCACTTTTCTCTATTTATTTCAGAGCCCCCTTCCCCTCCCCCATTTCTGAATAAGGGTCTAGGCCCAAAACGTCAGCTTTCCTGTTCCTCTGATGCTGCTTGGCCTGCTGTGTTCATCCAGCTCTACACCTTGTTATCTCTGACTCCAGCATCGGCAGTTCCTACTAACTATGGATGCAGAGAGCAGCCTTTGTGTCCAGGATGTAGCCACCCTTTTAAGGTATCCAACCCTTGCAATGAGGCAGGATCACAAGAGTTCTCAAGGATATAGGGCAATGAGGACAATAGACTCTGCCCTCCTGTATATCCTCCACATCCTGAGGGGACCTTTAATTGCAACCTCTTCATGTGGAAGCTAATGGGCAGCTACTGAAAGTTGCGTCTGGTCCTAGGCTTGCTGACATATCTGCTCCTCCTCACTATTTCTGTGCCTTAGACACATGATAATGACCCTGCTGTGGCTGGATCCATTGGTCACTTTTCCAATGAATCAATGTGGGGAAAATACCAGAAACAGAACAGTTTTAGTAATGTGAGCATTCCGCATGTACATCACTCATAAATTACCATTTAGCCGAGCCCTTGAAACAGTGTGATATGGAGGACTCTGATAAGAACGACAATGGAATGCATCTACATAGGTCTACATGCTCATCATCGAGAATCTAATTTTTCCAACCTTGCTATATTTTTCCAACTGACTCGCCATTACACATGCTGGGGAAAATTCAGCCCATTGAATTGAATCCTTTAAAAGAAACCTATAACCCTCATATAGTACAATATAATCGCTTCTTTGCTTTCAAGTTTTGCTTCTACTGCCCTGGACCGCAAATAATTCCAGATGAATGGCATGTCCATCATCTACAAAGCAATGTCAGGAGTGCAATTGAATACTCCCCATTTGCCTGGATGGGTGCAATTCCATTAACACTCAAAAAGCTTGACACCATCCAGGATAAGGCAACCCTCATGACTTTCACCACATCCACAAAAATTCACTTCCTTCACCACCTACACTCAGTAGCAACAGCATTATTTACCATCCACAAGATGCACGGCAAAAATTATTCCAGGGTCCTTAAACAGCACCTTCCAAATCTACAATCTCTACCACTAGAAGGACAAGAGTAGCATACCACCATCTGCAAGTTCCCCTCCAAGCCACTCACCATCCTTCAGTGTTATTCCTTCAGTGTTGCTGAGTCAAAATCCTGGTACTCCCTCCTCACTGGCATTGTCAGTGTGCCCACACCAAATATGTGGCAGCTCACTACCACATTCTCAAAGGCAATTAAGGATGGCCAATAAATGCTGGCCCAACCAGTGACACCCATATCCATAAATGAATTTAAAAAAAATCAACTCCACATATATGGAGAGCAGCTTTTAGACATCAGCCTTGAACTTGTATCTTACCATGTCTCCTTCTCTTGTAATCTTCATTCAATTTAAAATAGTGTTCAGAAATAAGCATTTTTATTTTTATTCCTATGAGTGTAAAATGTACTACTCTGGTTCACCTCCTTTCAAGCATAAAGAGCTCAAGTTTGTTTTGACTTTTCTTCCTGACTTTGTCCTTTTACCTCTTTCTATTTTAATAAAACACATTTTGTAGTTTACTTACTTTCACCATAGTAAGACATTCTGTTAAGATTGCGTACTCCCAGTTCAGGTGTATTAACAGGTCGAAGCTGTTGCATGTGCCCTACGGACTAAATACAATAAAATTGAATTAAAACATATTTGGTCCAATTACTCTATTATTTTTATTCACCATATCCTAAAACTAGGATGGGGACGAAGGCTTAACAGACTTAAAAAATGGGTAACTCATAATGTGGTCACCCTAGGTTTAGTGTTCATCCACTCAATTCCTGCAAACCATCCACTATTTTGTCTCTGGACACAGTGCCACTAGTTTTTGATCATAGAAACAATTCGCTGTCCTCTGAGGAAACAGGAGTTTATGATGCAAATTACAGGTGTTACCTTGCTTTAAAAAAGTTGAAGACAATACTCAACTGTGTCAGAAGGTGGGGCTAACTCTCATTCAGACTAACTGTGATTCTGATATTTATCGTCCTGAGCTTAGGAAAACATTAATAGAGTTGAGTTGCTGTAAAAGCTATCAAATTAAAACTGTGGTTAAACAAATTGGAGAAATACAGTTTACAATTTATTTCTATTGGGTTCACAGTTAAAAGTACTTACCATACCAACTAACTTCACACCATCAATCTTGACTTTCTTTTCTTTGTTGTTTCTGTTGAATATAGAAGATAGAAATTTGTTTAATCGCATTCAAAAACGTTTGGGAATACCTATTTTCCCTCATTTAAATACCAAAGAACTCTTTTCTCATTTTGAATGTCTCATTGAACTTTGTCCAACAAAAATTATGAGAAAATCCAAAAGTCTTCGGTAGGCATTTAAGTTGTAGAATGTTATTAAAAGGATGGGTTGTGCTTATTCATGCCTTACGAAGGGAAATTAAACATGGAGCTAGAGGGCATGGCAGAGAGACTAAGTAGGCATTTTTCATCTGTCTTTACTGTAAAGAAGATGCTGCCAAAGTCATGTCAGAAAGTAGGCACAATATTTGAGAAACTGGATGGATCATAAATTGACAAAGAGGAGGGATATTGTTCCTCACTTAGGTTTGTATTTTTGAGAATCACAAATTTAGTCGTAGCAACTCCAAGTGGAAGCATGGTTTTCCATAGGAGTTAAACTTCAAAGCTACAGTCAGCTTTCTAAGGAGAATTTTTGCCCAGAAAGCCAATGTAAAAGTTGAAATACTGTTATATAACATGTAGCATTGTAATTACTAGCTGAAATAAGTTGAAAAACACAGCAAGGAAAGTAGCAGTGAAGAAAACAAAATCTTTGCTTGCAAAGAAGTCTTGATAGCAATTTAGAGTACATTACAGGTTAGGTAAACATTTCTCAACTTTTTTTAAATTCATTGACAGGATGAGGTCCAGCATTTATTGCCCACCCAGTCAACTGCTTGGATCTGGAGTCACATGTAGGCCAGACCAAGTAAGGATGATCGTTTCCTTCCCTAACGGACATTAGTGAATCAGATGCTTTTTCCCCTGACAATCAACAATGGTTTCATTAGAAACTTAATTCCAGATTTTTATTGAATTCAAATTCTACCTTTTGCTGCGGCTGAATTATGAATCTGGTCCCCAGAACATTACCTGGATTTCTGGATTAATAGACCAACGATAAAACCATTAGGCCATTACCTCCCCTAATATTGTACTGTAAGGGTAAAGTACTTCAGAGGACAGTACAACAGAAAATTCTCTTTAAAAACTAAGTCCACAACAGCTCTTCTAATACTACGGCTACAAACTGCAGCGAAATTTAAAAAGAAAGATTCAAAAGTGCAGCTCCTTTTAGTATGCAAGTAGAGAATGTTTTAAGAAAACGAAGATCTTCGACTGCAGAGTGCTGACACGATGGTACCAACACTAGCAGCACAATCATGGAGCCTCACTGAAGATGTGATGACATGAGTTCACTTGATGATCTAAGAGGCAGAATGATGTGAGATGCCAGAAGCAACCAAGAAATAAGGGAAATTAAAATGGGGAAATGGTATTTTCAGTAATGAGAGAGAATGTAAAAAAGGAACAATTTCAATGTGAAGAAACATTAAAAAGGGAGACTGAAAACAAGGACACTGTATATTAGAAAAGTGCATATTTAAAATTAATAAGTCATTAGGGTCAGATGAGCTGCATCTGAGGAGGCTAACAATAGTATGGGTAAAGGTTGAAGAAACATTGGCTGTGACCCTCTGATCCCACCCGTAGATACAGATGGTGTTAGGAGATTTGAGCATTGTAGATATTACAGCTTGTTGAAAAACGGTCGTAAGGGTTATGATTCCAATAGATATTATTATTGGAGAAGTCAGATCTGAAACTGAAAAATGGCTTGATAGATTATATTTGGTTTATATTTGATTTTAATGAGGTAGTCTCTCACTGAAACAGAAGCATACACTATTGCAGATTTGGGTTTGACAAGCAAATTGATTTATTGTGAAGAAGAAATGAAGATAAAAATGGAATAAACTGATCAATTTGCATATTACGCAGGTTTAAATGTTTTGAAACATGGGTAAAAAGATAATCCCATTACTTCCTAAAACACTCCTTTACTAATCCCTAAAACATTCTTTGCAGGTCCCAAAAACACTCTTTGAAATACTCATAGCAAAGAGAGTCTCTTTTCTATCACCTCTATCAGATCTCGGTGTCCATGTGCATAGATCACTGAAAGTTGCCACCCAGGTTGATAGGGTTGTTAAGAAGGCATACGGTGTGTTAGGTTTTATTGGTAGAGGGATTGAGTTTCGGAGCCATGAGGTCATGTTGCAGCTGTACAAAACTCTGGTGCGGCCGCACTTGGAGTATTGCGTACAGTTCTGGTCACCGCATTATAGGAAGGATGTGGAAGCATTGGAAAAGGTGCAGAGGAGATTTACCAGGGAAGGTCTTATGAGGAAAGGCTGAGGGACTTGAGGCTGTTTTCGTTAGAGAGAAGAAGGTTAAGAGGTGACATAATAGAGACATACAAGATGATCAGAGGATTAGATAGGATGGACAGTGGGAGCCTTTTTCCTCGGATGGTGATGGCTAGCACGAGGGGACATAGCTTTAAATTGAGGGGTGATAGATATAGGACAGATGTCAGAGGTAGGTTCTTTACTCAGAGAGTAGTAAGGGCGTGGAATGCCCTGCCTGCAAAAATAGTAGATTCGCCCACTTTAAGGGCATTTAAATGGTCATTGGATAAACATATGGATGATAATGGAATAGTTTAGGTTAGATGGGCTTCAGATTGGTTTCACAGGTCGGCGCAACATCGAGGGCCGAAGGGCCTGTACTGCGCTGTAATGTTCTATGTTTTATGTTCTATAGGCTTAATTTAGTTGTGATTTCAACTCCCAGTTTGGAGAATCTGGACCCTTCATACAATCTATTTTTTAACTAAGCTAAACTATCTTCTCCCTTTCTTCGGAGAAACTGCGTTACACATCGATCTTCAGCTAAAAGCCCTGCATAACTGCCCCAGTTTGAAACTAAAAATGAAATGTTATTCTTGAAATTTTGGGTGTTTCTCCTCAACTTAAAATTAAGGGTCCAGAATCTGCCTTCAGAAAATCTGTTGTACTCCATTGTATACTTCATTCATCCATAAACTCTCCGAATGTAAACAAAACCTATTAGTTCTTGGAGGTTATCTCTCTCAATTTTTTTTTTTGAACTCAACATGGTACAGAAATACTTACAAGTTAATCATTAAACTCCTTCAGACACACAGAAAATCCATATGCCACCAGTTTAAATTTCAAAAATCCAAACTTGGAATAACTGATATTAAAATATACATAAATCACACACCCTACATTACAGGACACACCCAGCAATTACAGGTCAGTGACTTTTGCCTCAATTATGGGAAAGCTTTGAGAAAAGATAATCAAGCACAAATCTAATAGTTACTTGGCCAAATGTGAATTAATTAAGGGAAACAATCTAAAGGCAAAGATAAAGGCAAAAATGTGTCCAACTAACTTGATACAGTTTTGTTGATGAGGTAACAGAGAGAGAATTTGATTAGGGTAAAGGTAAAGTTGACATAGTTTCGGAGGACCATAGTGCTGTTCTCTCATTAACGAACTATACCTGCTGGTGATTTAACCGGAGGGGTATCATGTCTCAGGTGAGATGAAAGGTTGAGGAGGCAGGACCTTCATGGTGACCTCAGTTTGTGTGAGACCTGAACCCATGCTGTTGGTGTTATTATACATTGCAAACTAGCTCTCCAGCCAACTGAGCTAACTGACCCCATTAATGCAGTTGATGTGGTGCTATTTGAACTAAAAAAGTGCATAATTCAAGAAGAGGTGGAGCATCAGAGGGACCTGGGACTATATGTGCATAAATCATTGGCAGGGCTGATTGAAAGGCTGCACTGTTTGACCTCAACTGGTGTGCTGCGTCCAATTCTGGGAACTACATGTGGAATGGATGTGAAGGCATTCGACACAACACAGACTGAATTTGAACTAAATATTCCCCTTACACGGCTCCATATGTTCCAGCTGCAGGAGAGGATTTGGACATTCTTTTGGCCTCTCTAGTTTGAAATTATCAATTTGGTGCCATTAAAAACACAACTTAAAAAGGAAACAGAGAGGAAGACAAAGAGAAAGAAAGACAGAATTGAAGAATAAGATTGAGTGACAAAGAGTACAGATCTTAGAGGCTAATCAATTATCTTCTAAACAAGTCTGCTGTTTGGGCCCTGTTTTAATTATCACGTAATTTCATTTCTTGATGCAGTTGACAATCAACATTGATTTAATTAACATTATTTGTATCACTGCTTTTGCACCATACTTATCTCTCATTTACCTGTCTCTCTTAGAAGTTAATATTCTTCAATGTCAAGTGTTGCATATAGGAAACATGAGCATATACATACTGTAAACTGTGTCAAAATAACTGAAGATGAAATCAAAGATCAAAGAGTTTTAGAAAGCTTGATGTCCAACTACTTAAATAGTGAGTGTTACTATTAGATAAAGAGCAGAGATCAACCACACAAACAGAGTGCTGAACTATATATACAGAATAGCAAAAAGAATTAGCATTATATCAGAGATAGTAAGAACTGCCGATGCTGGAGTCAGAGATAACACAGTGTGGAGCTGGAGGAACACAACAGGCCAGATAGCGTCAAAGGAGCAGGAAAGTTGACATTTCGGGTTGGGACCCTTCTTCAGAAACGGGGAAGGGGAAGGAAGCTGGGAATTAAATAGAGAAAGGAGGGGTGGGGCTGGGGAAGGTAGGTAGGATGGTGATAGGTGAATGCAGGTATGCAGTGGTGGGGATTGGTCAGTGAGGTGGGAGGAGCGGATAGGTGGGAGAGAAGATGGACAGGTTGTGTCAGGTTGTTTTGGGTCAAAGAGGTAGGGATGAGAGGGAGGGTTGGTCATGGGATGAACCCGGGGGTGGGGAGATTTTGAAACTGGTAAAGTCTACATTGAGACCATCGGGTTGTGGGTTCCCAGGCGGAATATGAGGTGCTGCTCCTCCAGTTTCTGGGTGGTGTCATGGTGACACTGGAGGAGGCCCAGGATGGACATGTCACCCAGAGAGTGGGAGGGGGAGCTGAAGTGGTTCGCGACTGGAAGGTGTTGTTGTTTGTTGCAAAGAGAGCGCAGGTGCTCTACAA